GCTGCTATTCCACGCCCTGAGCTTCTCACAATGTCGGACGCTGCTATTCTACTTCTTGAGCTGCACTGTAGCTATCGTCTGTTCAGTATATGAGCGAAAGCTATTCAGAAACCGCCTAAGCGGCTTTTTTCTTTGCAATACCACTCACCAACAAGCTGCTTCACCAGTTGCTAGCAACACAAGCAACATGTACCATCCAAAGAATTTTTCTTTCTTGTGTGGTGACAACGAAAACCCTGCACACCACTCTTCCAATGAACAATTTGATGTAAGTGATCATAAAGAGACACTCCAAGCACCATTCGCTTCATTGTTTTCTCCGTCACATCGAGCGCTTGCTTTTCTCCTTTAGTCAGTGACCATGTTTCGCATTTTGGACTAGTGCTTTCAACAAAGTGGTACTGGAGAGGTAAGCGTAATCATTACGGTTTGATACTTGAAGGCACTGACGACTCTGTGAATTTGTACCATTCAGCAATTCTTCTAAGTGAAAGGTCAGGCTAGAACTATTATTTTGTAACTTCCTGACCAAAAAAAAGACGTAATTGTGAAGTTATTCTAAATAAACACCGTCTGTGTGGGGCCTCCAGACATAGCGGTGTATTGTACCATTTTCGTTATCGATGCGTTGATTTCCAGGCCCTCTTCTTTACCTTACGTGTTAAGTTGTTTGCAGTACTCCATCTATTTCGCCCAAGCAGAATAATTTCACAGTAACTGTTAATTACGTAGATAAAATAATGCAAACACGTAAATCTTTGTGAACAGCAAAAGATTGGCCAGTGCAGTAATTATTTAGTTACATGAATAGTGAATGCCTTGATTGTAAAGGGAGGAGTGTTATAGAAGCCTTGATCTCCCCAGAAAAAAGGAAAAACTGCCGTACCGAGATAGAGTACAGACTGGTTCTAGAGCAAAATGTTAAAATTAGGATATCGCATTGGATAAAGTCTATGAAAATTCGAGAAAGTACAATTGAAAAGTTTGCCCCGTCGCTGGGTGTTAGAAATGCGAATGCGCTGTTGAGAAAATGGACGCAGAAAAATAGTTCTGCAAACCATATTTGTGGCTTTCAAATCCAAACGCAACGCAAGTCGTAAATCGTTTTCTTCCTTGGTGTTGTAGGGACGCTCAAAAAGTGGCATAATCCGCCTCTTCGCATCTTCGAAATCTGCAAAAACCGGCAATAAACAGCTCTCAGAAAAGGCAAAAAGACCCTAATAGGATTACGGCATTTACGGCAGAGAAAAAGAAGCGGTTCAGGCCATTATCGTAAAGAAAGAGGCCAAATAATGTAAAGAGATAGGACCAGCCTGAAAAAAAGCGCCTATAGGGGAAAGCATTTAATACTGGATTAGGCGTTTGGTTTAACTATCAGTACCACACAACAGAAGGCACAGCACGACGAAAGCTGGAATGTGATGAAAAACAAACTGTAAGCAACGTTGGGCATCAAATGCAATGCAATAATCCGGGAATGGCTGCTAGGCGCTGCCGCTCCTTCATCTGTCGACAATTCGCGTTGTTCGTGCTCATTAACGTGCTCTACTTCAGATGAATTCAGAGTAGTTCCTTTCACATTCACAACATCACCTGAAGTTCCAGCTGCCCACTATTTTCAGTATTGAAAAAATAGGTCCAAAAACTGTGCATGAAAAGAGCGATTAGCTGTCAAAAAGGTGAAGGTGAAAATGATACTTGCAAAGTACACGGGGAAGACATGGGGCAGTGTGGGGGAGAGGAAGATGATTCGGACCCTTCAAGATTCTGGGGGCTTAAACAATTTTACTGCCGATCGCTGGCAAAAGAAGCAAGTTTCAGCTTGTGTTGGGTCACATCTTTGGGTATGCCAGCAATCGTTATGGAATAAATAGCGCCACGCATCACGATAGCGTATTACACAGTTTTATTTAGAATGTTTAATGTTTTACAATTTGATGTGTGCAAAAATAGTCGAACTGTCGCCTGTTTTCCTAGCTATGAAATTCCCCATTAAAAATTTCATGTGTCCGTACGTGAAGCGTAGGTGTGCGTGAGAGCTGAGTTTGAACTCGTAGGACCGCATATGAACAAAAAAATTCTCCAAAGATTTTAGCTTTCTATCTTGTTTGGTTTTTGAAAAACTTCTCACATGAAATTTATGCGCCCGTATGTGATGCACAAGCCCAGTGTTACACAACAGCAGGAAGATCATCGTGTCCGGTTTCCAAGGCAGAAAATTTTTTGCCAAAACATTCATGTGTCTATGCATGAGACCTATGAGCACTTAAAAGCTCAGCTTAAATTTTTATAGTCGCACTTGGGCAGAAAATGCTTTCCTGAAATTTTAGATTCCTAGCTTTCCTGGTTTCCGAGCCAGTGACTATCTCGCCAAAGCCTTTCACTGTGCGTACTTGATACGTGGCCGTAATTAAAGACCAGTTTTGAAATCTTTGGATCACACATAGCCCCAACCCCACCTCCCTCACTTTGTCTGTAGTGCAGACTTCCTACTAATCCACCGCTTCTCCTCCTCCGTTATGTCGACGACATTTTAGTCGCTCAATTGCCCGGACTTTCTTTCCCTTTGTCGAGACATTTACAGCCAGGACCTAGACACAGAATGTACAGGTTCAGGTACCATCGTCAACTACTCAGACTTGACCCTTATCAT